ACCTCAGGAAGGCCGTGCTAGGTAGGGCTGCCACAGGGGCCGGGCGTCCTGCGGTCGAGGTAGTCATGCAGCTTAGCATGCCGGAGCCTGGGCTGCCCCCGCGCGTGCCCTTGGGAGTGGGGCCGGGCCTCCACCTCTGGCCGGGGAGAGCAGAGGAGGTCAGCCCAGACCTGCAGCCTCCCTCTGGGGCTGCCCTCTCACTGTCCCGCGCCTGTGGCCTGCCTGCCCGCGTAGCGTGACCAGCGCCAAGCGCTCAGCGACAGTGCGGTTCTCCTCACACTTGTGGGGTTTCTGGCGCCCGGTGTTGAGGAACGTGTTCTTTAAGGTCTTACATTTCCCTGGAATTACTTCCAGTAAGGCTGCATTTTATTTCCGTAAGTGGCTCTTGGGGCGAGCCGTGTCACATGGAGTGAGTGACATGGAGGCCTGCCTGGTGAGCAGACCTGGGACTCTAACCTACAGCCGAGAGGCCCCGTCACCCGCCTGACTTTGCTCTGTCTCAGGCCTTGGAGTCAGTCTGGTTTCCAGGTTGGTGGCTGGTTCCTGCCTTTGCAGGAAGTGCTCTGGGGAGGTTGTAACTGATCTGCTCTGCCCGCTCTGTCTGTGTGCATGAGAAGTGAAGATGGCTGAAGAGGGGGAGCACCTGGAGGCGGAGGTCGTGTACCCCATCACCTGCGGGGACAGCAGGGCCAACCTGATCTGGAGGAAGTTCGTGTGCCCTGGCATCAACGTGAAGTGTGTCCAGGTGAGGGCTCCAGGCGCGGCAGGCCGTGAGGCTCCTGCTTGGGGGCTTGACGGTGCTGCAGGTGCTGGAGAGGCTGGGAGCACCGAGGAGGGGCAGGGCCTAGTGGAGCCACAGCAGCCGTGCCTGGAGCCCCGATTTCCAGGCGTGGAGCCCCGTGTGTGGGAGGCCAGGTCTGCGCCATGGAGAGTGACTTTGTGGCAGGTGGGAGGAGAGGCCCTGGAGAGACTGGTTTGTAGTGAGTGGGCGGCTGGGCCGGCACCTCTTTCTGGCCCCATAGGAGATGTACCGCGTGCTGAGAGCAGCGAGGGACACCCTTCAGACCATTCTCTTCTAGAAGTGGCAAGCCGGCAGCAGAGCACCGAGGCTGCCTCCTGGGCTGAGGCCTCTGTTCAGTGCTGGCTTCCCTGGCTTCTCAGGTCTATTAGCTCAAGAGACAAAGTCAGGACTTCCCTGAGGTGTGGGTGGGGCTGCCGCCTCCAGAGATGGGCTGCTACGAGCACCCTCCCAGCCACAAATGGGCCCCCCCTTAGCGCTGAGTAGAAGAGGCTCACCCTCTTAAGGAGCTGCATGGGGCCTGCATGGTCTGAGAGCTTCAAGTTGAGAGTTTAGCTGTGAGTGGTCCCAGCTGCCTGGGCTCCCAGGATTCTGATAAAGCACAGGGAAACACCTTTTTTTGGAGAAATTCTTGTTGATTTCAGGGGTCCGTGCTCTGGTGTGTTAGAGACGGTTCCCAGGACAGCGGGACCTGAGCCCTACCTGGCCATAGAGCAGAGGTGGCTGCCCGGGCAGACAGGGTCTACCTGCTCAAGATTTCTGAGTTCCAGCCTGCGGCAGGACCAGCAGGTCCCACTTGGAAGGGCTCCTCTGTGACCAAAAGGGCCACTTGCTTGTCAGAGCAGGACAGGGGCTGTGCAGCCCATGCTGTGGACGGCCATGGGGTGGGCAGGCTGGGCAGGGGCCATTCATAGAGGGGCTGGCCACCCTGCCTGTCCTCTGTGGCAGTGCGGGTACAGGCCACGTACAGAGCAAACCGCATGGGTATGCCGAGTCCCGTCTGGAGGGGTGTGCCGTGTGCTGCTGTATGGCACGGCTGGCCTGCCTGGTGCTCGGCATGCAGTCAGCCCAGAGGGCAGCCAGCACTCCACAGTGCCTCGAGGCTCGGTCTGGGGTGGATAGTGGCTCCCGCTGCTGCCCTGATGGGGTGCTCTGCATGGAGGCCCGCCTCCTGGGCTGCATGGGGCTGACCCCGTGTGCGGTCTGCCTGCAGTATGACGAGCATGTGATCAGCCCGAAGGAGTTCGTGCACCTGGCGGGGAAGTCCACGCTGAAGGACTGGAAGAGGGCCATCCGCATGAACGGCATCATGCTCAGGTGGGCGCGGCCGGTGGGCGGGGCCAGCGCCCTTCGGGGTGCACATGTTGCGCTTCTCTCTTGGACCTTGGGTTTCTGAAGACGGGCGTGACATACAGGTGGGGCCTGCTGGCCGCCTGCCACGTGGCCCGCAGGTGCCCCCCTCCCCTTCCCCCAGCGGCAGGTACGTGCGTGTCCTGTCACAGCTCGTGCCGACTCCGGTCTTGCCGGAGGACTGTGGCCACCCCGTGTCAGAGAGCGGGCAGGGGGCTTGCTCTCGGCAGCCTGCATGGCCACTCTTCACTTCTGCCCCCTCGTTGCTGTCGTGGGGGTGCAGGCTGCTGGTGGACGGCTTTCTTTGTGAGCTGCAGTCTCGGTCCTGGTGCCTGGAGGTCAGGGTCAGGTGCGGGCTCAGGGTGGCCTGGCCTCGCTCGCTTTCTGGGCAGTCTAAGGCCTCAGGAGGGACTGACCCTGGGACCTTCCCACCACGCTGGCCTTGGCTCTCCATACCATGGCTGGCAGCACCGCCACACTCCCCTGGCCAGGGAGCAGGGAGGTTTGTCGGGCCACAGCAGAGGCCCTGGCCCCGTGTGCCGGAGGCAGAGGTCAGCACTGCTCGGAGTGGAGCAAGGCTGGGGGCCAGGGGTCGAGACCCCCCACTGGGCCTAGGACCTCTAGGGAGGCGGGGAGGGGACAGACCCAGCAGTGGGGCCCGTGGCACCTTCCTGGTGGAGGTGAGCAAGAGAGGCAGTGACAGCACCCTGCACCCTGCCACGCCATTGCCTCACTGCCTCGGTGCATCCCCGGGTGCTGCTGGCCAGGCCTCCGTTGTTCCAAGGATGGCGCCAGCATGCGGGCGGCCTGGGCGGCTGCTCTGTCTGCATGCCAGGGCAGAGCCTGGCCTCCCTCGCCATGTGGCTCACGGCCACCCGCTGTCCCCGCACAGGAAGATCATGGACTCAGGGGAGCTGGACTTCTACCAGCACGACAAGGTCTGTTCTAACACCTGCCGCAGCACCAAGATCGACCTCTCGGGGGCCCGCGTGGCCCTGAGCAGCCCGGCCTCAGCCGAGTACATCCCCCTCACGCCCGCCACGGCTGACGGTAGGTGCAGGCCCGCCCTCCGCCCAACCGCGCC